TGGGGATACTTGACATGTCCATCAATAATATATTGGTACAATAATTGCTTTTCATGCGGCGACGAATATACATAAAAGAAAGTTTTTGTACTTTTGGCAATGAGCTATTAAAGAAACAGCGAATGAGCTAAACAAACAATTTGGTAATGGGACTACATGTATTTAATTATGTCATAATGGCTCGTAATAGCGCTTGATGCTGTGAGGTTTTTGATGTTAATTTTTGGGAAACAGTACAGAAAATAAAATGAAATTATAGTAATATCGAAGTTAAGTGGAAAAAAATAAACACTCACTGTCGTGGTTATACCTGCAAATTAAAACCAGGTGATTAGATATTATCTAATAGCTAACAACATTTGTTACCCTAATTGTTGTAGTTATCGGTTATATGGCCTTTAATAAAACCATAGAATATGTAAAGTGATTATGAATTAAAAACTTAAACTCGAAGCTTGTCCAAATGAACCAATTTAAATGATTTTCAAATTTTATAATATTAATTTAAATGTTATGACTAATATAAACGTTGCTTATAGTGTTATTTCTTTATTAATCGGTGATTGATTAGGCTTCAACTTTTCCAAAACATTTTATCAAATTTTGTTACTCACCCTCCAACAACATGTAAATGCAGTTTAACATCTCTTAAAATAGCAAAACAGCAAAAACTCATTAATGCACACAACAGAGGCACTTCACTTTTTATAAGTACGAACAAAATCAGAATCATCCACCAAAAAACAGCAAGAATCATAAATAATCGTTGACAAAACTTTGACTAAGGTCGATTAACCATCCCTCGAACCTGGAAGGTCAACACTGGGAGGTCACTCGTAAAAAGGCCGTAAAAATAGTGAAATCGGCGTTACGCAATTCTGAAATAGATGCATGATTTATGGACAGCTGGACAGACGCCCGGAACTCCAAAGGACTTACAAAATCCAACAGCGCCTGCGCACAGCTTGACAATCCGAGGCACTTGAGGCTAATTTCCCAGCAGTTGGCCAGCCGATTGAAAATATTTTTTAATTAAAAAATCGACATGCGTTTGTTGGGAATATTGAATGAGTAAGTGGTCGAATGAATGGATCGGCGAATGACTGCATGACAATGTTGGTGCACACGCGTATTGGGTTTCCCCCGCGAGACGAGAACATGTTTTTCCATTTTTATGCCAGAATAAATTCGCGTGTGCGGAAAACGGAGTACAGCTAAATGACAAAAACACTTGCTCACCAAGCTGTGAAAATGGCCAAGTGGAAATCGGACACTGGACATGGCATTGACCATGTCCAAGACCGGGTCGCTGAACATTGCATATGTGTCGGATTGTTTCAGTTGTTTCATTCTTTATTAGTTTGTTAAACTGTTTATGACGGGCTAAGCTAATACAAAATTTGCATATTTGATTTCCTGATGTAATAAATGTTATCTCTGAACCTAGAGAATAAATTTCTATTAACCGTAATTAGATGTAGGAATTAGTTAGTTTTGAAATACATTTTTTTTTTTGATTTTACATATAAATTTTATTACATTTTTTATTTTTTTACATGTCACTTACGTAGGATTTCTTTCATAAAATTAAAAAGAATAAAAAAGGAGAGCTGATGATTAATTTTATAAACCCTTCCTGATTCATTGTTTTTTTTTTCGTTTTTGCCTATATAAATTGGAACTTTTCCTTTTTGAAACATTGACAGCCGGAACGTGAATTCCCTTGGCGATCATCTGCCTGAAAATTGCAGTTACATCACATAAATCTCATCGTCTGACTTTCGATCGGATACCAGCCACGCCCCTCAACCCTTGAGAGATAGAAACAATGTGACTGGCACCACCAAACCACTCAACCACTGAACCACTTGAATAGCGGCATTGGGACATAAATCTTCAGATGGGATACCGAAAATTTGTCACTTTCACCGCGACAAAAAAGACAATTGACCAATGTGCGCAAAAAAACGGGGAAAACTCCGGAAAAAGGTAGAGGAAATCGTAATGCATAGACGAAAACCCGCCACAATGAAATACATATAAAAGAGAGAAAAGCGCAGTGAATTTTACGGTAAATTGGCTGATCACAAAGGCAACCGCGAGAAGTCCTTTTAATCCTTTTTGCTGTACAAACTAACGACAGCGGAATTGCCACTCAAAAGGTGAAAAACCGAGGGAAAACATTGCCAGGATCTGAATGGACACAGTGTCCTGCTGCGAACGGCACGCGCTGCGAAGGGAGGATAAGTAGCAGCTGCGCCTGCGCCAAGGATACTATTCGAAAATCGAAAGTGACCAGGGAATAGGGAAAAGGGGTCGAAACATGCGGTTGGCAGTACAAATTGAAATGCCAAAATCATTTCCATCGACCGGTATTATAATTACAAAACCAACAAATGCGATTAACTGGACTAGAGTCGGACTGTAAAATTCCAGGGGGTTCAGTTTTGAGTAGTAAATTCACGCCTCGCTACACAAAAGCGCTGTAAATTATATTGTTAGACGGACTGACCACCGTCCAGTTTCGTTTCGGTGTCCGTAAAATTGCCAAATTCCCATAATTGCAGCTCCTGAAACAATGGACAAATTTACAGCACAAAACAGATCGGACAGGACGAATGACGTAACCCTCGTCAGGTTGGAGGGGTGGTAAATTTTATTAGTTTGCTGTCATATGCTCATCGACTGTTTGTTTAGGATGCTGGATGCGTGGAGTTGCAGCACGGGAACACGCACAGGACATGACAGGACATAATCATAAATATGGCAACTAAATTATGAAATGGGTGTGCCACTCCCCCTCTTTTTTCCGTCCAGGCTTATTGGTCACGCTTGTGAGTTTTGTTATTTTTGAAAATGGTTAAAGATTCTCACCAACTAGTTTTAGGCTGGTATTTTTAGAGGAAACATTTTTAACTGCCAAAATAAAATGAATTATTATTTACTTTTCTTACTTAACGCATGGAAATTATGGATGTAATCGGTAAATTTAATAAATAATCTTCGAAAACCCGTTTTTTGTGGAAGTAAAATGCTGATTTTTGTAAATTCGAATTATAATATCGAATTTGGTTTCATAAAGAAGCATACAAGAATTATTTAAAATATTTTACACTTTTATATCTTAGTTTCTTGTTTGACTTGAGTTTAATCCGATTTGCGTCAAATAATTGAATTCAAAAATTTTGTAAGATTTCGTCTTAATAATTTTGTAATATTAAATTGTTAAATTTTGTTTCGGCAGTTAAAAAATCGTTTGCTACGACTATCGGTGGTTTGCACTGCTTGAATTATGTACTGCTTCGAATTAGCGCCTCAGTTATTCAGTGCCTGTTTTATAAACTATTGACCGCTTGGGCCAGCACCACCTGGCGGTACTAATTGTAACTGTTACTTCCTGTATCAAAACATATGTAGATTATGAAAATCATGTAGAAAATATGTCAAATATATATAAACGGACACTAAGTTTGAAGATCAGGCAGCATTACAAAAATCAAAATGACTATTTTTCCAATTTCGAGATACCTTTACTGAAAACACTGACGTGGTGAATCAGTTATGTTACCGAAATATTAGAAAAGTATGCTCTTATTAACATACAAAAATAAAAATTTAAATTTTAAGTCACTGTGTTATTTATTTTTAAAACTATATAAAAAACTATTAAAATATCATAATTTTGCATTGTTTTTTATATTTAATTGGGTGATCGGATTTTGTACAATATTTAACTTTAATTGGTGTGAACATTTTGTTGTTGCTGATGGCTGAAGCTCTCGTTGTTCCCATGTGAGATCGATTGCCGGTGATTAAAGAATTAGTCGGTGAACTCTCGTACTTCGGCAGTTTTATTTATATTTCAAGTCTGGATTCCCATACGAAACTGTGCCGCCAGCAGATGCGCTTCAAATCTAATTTGTATCGTCGGCTGCTGGCTTTCCATTTTGATTTGTATGGCCGCCTAGTTAGCTTCTGTTCTGTCCAGATTCGCCTGAGCTTCACGGCACCTGGAATTGAGGGAGCATCAATCCCTTGATTGATCTCCCGCTCCAGCATTTGTGGTATAAATATCTGGCAAAACTGGACCGAAAAGAAGGTCAGCAGACGGCCATACAGACCAAAATGGAAAGCCTACATCAGGCGGTACAGATCAGACTTCGAGTGATTTATGCGTGCACAAAAGCGTTGTCAACTTGTGCAAACGATTGTGAAAAACGACTGAAAGCGAGCGATTCTAATGCTCTGAATCTGGACTTACTTTCGGAATTTCCGAGTATTGATAAGAAACATTTTTATATTTGGATTCTTAAATGAGGCATTATCGACAGTTCCATTAAGAAGGAAAAAAATGTAAGCCAGAATTTATTTTTCTTCATTTGCTATAGGAACGATTCGCCCGAATTCTTATTCAAGGGTATATAAAATTCGGTTGGTTGAAGACATACGTTCTTGTTTGTGCCTTATTTTTACCAAAAAAATTTGGATAAATTCAGATCACTTATTTATTATTTATAATCATGTTTAATATATTTAAAATTCATTGTTCTTTTTTTTGTATTAAGATCAAACTTCGTTTTATTTTTTTGAACACAGCTGTTTAATCTTTAACAACAATTTATAAGCAATTTTTTATTTTACCGGATGCATTCGGGGTGATTAAAAAAATATAAGGCAATTATTTGTTCACAAAGAATTTGTTATCTCTTATGAACAAATGTACTTGTCAGCATCAAACGAGCACTAGAAAAGTAAATATGTATTCAACTAAAGCCGAAAACATAAAACAAACTTGTTTTAAAAAATGACTAAGATCAAGTAGCTACAGTTTTCATTGTTTCCATGGAAGCCCCAAAATTCACAAAATTCTGCAATCTTTTTATGCCCTTGGTATTATAATTTTGTTCAGAATCTTGGTTTGACTGTAGACTTCAGCTTGTCGAAATAAACTTCTGTTACAGTAAATGTTGATACCCTTTAAATAAAACTCTTTTAAAACGTACATTGTTTTCTCGTTTATTTGTTAGTTCTCAAGGGCTTCTTCAATTTTCGGGATACTTGGGGAGTACATACGTGTATACACAAACAATTCCAAGCAAAATAAACTTACGCAATATACATTCTAGAGGGTCCCGTAAACAATGTTCTACGCGTTCATCAACTACGAATAATGAAACTAAGGTCGAGTTGTTCGAATAGATTGGGTGGGGCTGGGTTTTGGATCGGGTTTCCAATCTGGATCGTCTTAGTTAAGTGCGTGCGTCTAATATTACCTTCTATATATATGACCTTTAGTGAGTATATTTATTTTGTGTTCGATTGTGTGTGGCTTTTGTGATATTTTCGTTTGCGATATCTTAGTAAATTTGATTGCATTTCTGTATTGTTTTATCGTTTACGGTTTCATACGATAATGTTTAACTCTTATGGGGTAAAATTTATGTTTCCGTTGCGATATTGAAGTGCTGGCTAATGCGGTATTTCTGAACAAAAGGAAACTGAATAAAGAATTCGTAACTCGTTCGTTATATCTTGTATACTTCCAATGCTGCCTTGGATTTGCCATTAAATTTTATTTAATGGGTAAACTCTCTTTGGCTTTGTTTGCTCCTTTATTTTATTTGCTGGTTTTATTCCCCTAAAATATATTTTTTATAATATATATTTAAAACAGGCCCCCTTGGGAGCTTAAAACGATTTTAGGCTACAGTAAAACATTTTTAATGCGCCAAGCTGCGAAGCTTTTAAGTCTTAACTATTCAATGAACTACCAAGTAAAGTGTATATTTCCGTATAATTTGAAAACGGGTTTCCCTTTTATTTTGTTAAAAAAAACCAACTTATCAGCAGGATGGTTTTCCCTCTTTTTTTATTCTGTGTTGTTTCGTGGCTTAGCAGTCTAGAGATTAGCTTCAGTGAAGAGATATTCTAGTTAATTTCGAATTGCTGTAAAAGCAACCGGCTAAAGTTCAATATAAAGAGAAAAATATTATTGTTACCAGAAGAAAGCTTTGAGTGTGGATTTAGCAAAGGCGGGAGCAGCCCAATAAAATGTTTCTGAGTGAGTGGGTGTACATGTTTGTGTCGAACCAAGATTATAATTGCCTTACCTTAACCAACACTGGCAGTGGGGAAAGTGTCATAACAAATTTTCGAAAGAGATTAAGTTTAAAATTATATAAGCTTACGAAACATACTTGAGTAAATCATTATGAAAACTTGAATACAGAATTTAATTGGATTAACTTTATTGTTTGTTACTAGAAATATTTCAAATATTGTTGTTTCTATTGAAAATCTGGCATAACTCTTGATTTGAATAGTTAAACAATTTTGAAGCGTTTATTTGAAAGTCCCTTCTTCCCTCCCGAAAACTCTTTTGTGACACTTTCCCCACTTTGCCATCTCATACCTAGCCTAGTAGTTCTATAACTTTATGGTTCCCCGTTCGATTTCTGTTCTATTTGGTTTCTTTATCACATGCTTTGCATTTCGGCTGCTCAAAACGTGTTTGTATGTGCGTATAGTGTATATAGTGTGATCAGGATGCCCCTTAGAGCTTGTCGAGGTCGGGTTCCTCCGGATCGGTTGGACTGATCGGGGACATTTCCACACTGTCCAGAAGTGGGGTCTTCTCCTCGCTGCAAGTGCTGCCCGGGGCATCGTCCATGTCCATCACGAAGATCCTGGAGAGATCGGCCCCACTGAGGGTCAATCTCGATGGGGACTCGTCCACCGAACTGGTGGCACTGCTGCTGCTGTTGTCACTACTGGTGGTGGTGGTGGTGGTGCTCTTCTGGACAATGTTGGTGCTCGGGATGGCGATGGTGGCGATGCTCTGGTCGAGGGACTTGGAGGGCGTGCGATAGCCGGCAGTTGCTGAGGTGGTGGCCACTAAATTCGATTGGCTGGACTGGGCGGACAGCGAGGTGGTCTTAATATTGGTCGTCTTCAGGTGGCCGCCAATGGAGCAGCTGCTGCTCCACCTGCCACCCTGATAGTGCTTCTGGTGGTGCTGGTGCTGGTGTTGGTGCTCCTTCTGATTGTACTGGTTGCCGCATTGCCGTAACCCCTGACCCTGCGATGATACCGTTGGATTATTGTCCTCGTTGAAGCTGATCTCGTCCTCGCTGTGCGTGTTGTTTATGGCCGTCTGCTTGAGTCGCACCAGATGGCGCTCGGAGTACGATTTCCGGGCATCCATGACCCTCAGATAATCGGAGGACTCGCCCAGGTCCTCGCTCTTGGAGCTGCAATATCTGGCCGAATTTCTCGAGCCACTGCCATTGCCGCAGAAACTGGTGGTCACACTCAACATCTGCTGGCTGCCGCTCAATGATCTCCGGCTGGCCTGGGAACTGCTCCGACTCTCGTACTGATTATCCCGCAAGGAGCAGGGCGAAATCCTGGGCGACGGATTGTTCTCCATCAGGGAGTCGTTGCTCTTGGCGATTCGGTTCTTCCGATAGAACTTGCTATCCCGCCAGAGGGTCTGCCTTCCGGTTCGCTGCATCTCAATGCAATTGCCCGGCTGGCTGGGGGGCGTTTGGCTGGTGGGCGTGGCCGTGGGCGAGTCCTGACCTTGACCTTTGCTGATGCGAAAGGAGGCGTGTGTGAGCTTCTTGTACTTCTCGCTCTGCATATTCACGCGATTGTCCGAGTGGGTGCGATCTGCCATCGGCAGAAAGGCATTATCGATCCGACGCTCCTCCTCCAAGGACCGAAAGGCCAGCCGATTCACGTGCTTCAGGTGCTGCTTATCGGAGGTCCTCTTCGGGGACATGTCCTCGAAGGAGCTTACCTGGAAGGGACACTAATTAAGCTTTCATTCACACCGCAAGATTATTTTTAGAGATTGTTTAAATTTAACAAGAAAAGAGAGTTTCTTAAGCAAGCTAACTATAATAAAGAGTCTTAATAAGAAATCAAAATATTTAATTTTTAATAAAAATGGCAGATACGTTTTTTATATAAATTGTTTATTATATAATAGTTTATAATATTAAATCGATATAATTTGCAGTCTCTTGGAATTGTAAGAAACGTAAACACAGGAAAGATAAAGAGCCCAATTTGAATTATCAACAAATGAATTTAAAAATGAATTTTTAAATTTGTAATTTTCCACCTTTGAGTAACTTTGATTATTTACAATTTATTTAGAGTATCAAGATTAGTTTCTTTACCAATTTGGTATAACATAAAATTTATTTATTTTAAAAACAATAAAGATTTCTAATTACTAGTAGAGTGAAAATGGTATTTGTGCAATAACAGGTAAGATCTTTAAATGTACTCACCCTGTATTTTTGTGAGAACACCTCTATCATCCCCGATCGCTTCGAGGGCGATGTGGTGTAGATGGAGTTCTGATCGTTGACCAGGATCTTGGGCGGATCGAACTGCTGCTGCTGGGGATGTCCCTGCCCGTGACCCTGGGCCTGACCTTGACCTTGACCTGCATTACTGGTGGAGGCCAAGGAAGAACTGCTCGAATTACTGGTGGCAGTGACCAAAATCTTCGGTGAGAGCGAAACGGGAAACTGCTGGGGACGTATGTTTCCGAAGGAGCCACAATTCGAGCCCGAGGAAGTAGAACCCGTTCCCGACATAGCATCATCGATGTGCAGGAAATTGTTGGGGGAACTCTCGCGACAGGGCGAGGATATGGCTGAGTCCTGGGAGACCATGCTCCTGGGAATGGTGGCCAGTTCCAGGCAGGTTTCATTGCCGCCCGTGGTGGTGGCTATAATGACATCCTCCACACCCTCGTCAATGGGCGACGAAATGGACTGGAAGCTGCTCAAGCGAATGCTGGACGAACCGATGGACAGGTCGTTGTCGGTCAGCGAGCCAAAGGCCGAGTCCTGGGAGGGATTGCTGCGCCCGTACTTCAGGCACTTGAGGGAGTACTCCAGCCTCCTGCTCTTCGAGTTCTTGTAGTTGCACATATCGGCAGTGAGTTGGTGGTTGAAAGATGCCCCAGCAGCCGATGAGGTGCAGGCTGGTGCCTGCAGCCTCTGAGCTCCCGACGAGCCACTGGCCTCCTCTTCAGGCTCAAATTCCTGCTCCCCCGCCTCCTCCTGCTCCTTATCCTGCTCCTCATAGACCTCGGCCACGGCTCCCTCGGCGAGCAGGACATCCAGGTTGCTCTGGCTGCTGGTACTACAGCGAATTGTTGGCGGCTGGGGATCCAGACCCGGCTCCTGGCCATTATCATCCGAATAGAGGGCCGCAGGGTCACAATAGTGGATGGGCGACTCTGAGGCATACGAGTGGACATACGAGTGGGCGGAGTGCCACTGCTGCAGGCGGAGCAAGTGCTGCCGATGGCAGCTCCCACCGACGACAATCTCCTCGAGGAGACCCTCCTCCGAATCGCTTGATATGTCAAATGAGTCCATTGTTCGGCTGATACTGTGGGGTCGGTGGGTCGAAGGCAGAAGGGCGAAAAGGTGAAAAGGGCAGAGAATAACAATCAGAAATTTCAGAATTTTCGTATCCAATCCGCCAGAGCTACCGGCACCTGATTCAATTTTCTTTTGTGTTCGGATATGCAGAAAAGCCATGGCATGTCATTGTATGCGATGAATGCATTGATGGGTTTTGTGAGTATGTCTGTGCAAGTGGACTGCACTAGAAGCGTCAATACGTGCGTGTTTTGAATCAGGCTCAAGTTGGCTGCTTTGCTCTCAAGCTCCTTCACAAACTCAATTAGTGACCCAAAAAATGACTGGTATGTTGATATATTGCAAAGTTTCTAGGCATATATGCATTGGCTATGATATGGATATCTCAAAGTGTGCTAAATTCAATTAGGAAGCAAATTTACGGGTATTGATGCTGCAAAGTTTTTGCGTCTAGCTTATTGTACTGAAATATTATTAATAGCTGAAAACGAAAGTTTCTTTACACAGCTAAATTAGTACAAGCTTTTTGTTATACTAGAAAAAAATGTTATATCTGGTATTAAAGTTTAACTTAAAACTGTTATTTTCTTAAATTGAGCATTGCAAGCAGGTGATAAAAGTCACCTGCACACTAATCTCCCCAAAATATAAGCCACTTTTAAATATTATATTTAATACTTCTGATATATAAAAAACTGTTGGCTTTTAAAATGTGTTTGTCAGTCCAGGATAATCATCGAATGATATATCTAAGATCTAATGCCTTTGGAGACCAGACTAAATTTCACTATTTAATCTTTATGGATCTGATAAAATGTAGCCTGCGTACTGAGAATATTTGTCCTCTTACCGAATCAAATATTTTTCTAGTACTATACATACTACAGCATGCATTTAACAAAACAAAAACATAAACATTTTTATTACAAGCTCAATAAATGGGATTTATTGAAAAGAGTTAGGCAAATAGCTTACAGCAGGGAAAACATTCAAATTGTATTATGCAAGCCGGCAATATAAAAACAATAGTAAACGAAAAGCATAGGATAATGTGGTTTGCACTTGTTAAATAAATAAATACATTTTCTATGTACTCTGCTGGCCCTCCACCGATGCAGGTTCGAATTTGTGGTGCGGAGTGGTTTGCTTGCTGGGTGGTGCAAAGGTCTGCGTGGCTTATCGCGGTGGTTGGAGCATACAAAAATTTTGCCACTTACCACATTTAGCTACAACAAACATGGTTAAATTTTTTGCAGCACTTAGTTTCATTTTCCGTCTGGTATAAAAATTGTAATTGTCGTACAAAAAAATTATGTTGTTTGCTTTCTCGGCTTGTATATTGATTTTATTTAATTTTATTCAGGTATTCATTTGGGATTTATTTCACACGATATTCGTTTTGTAAAATTTAATTGTGAGATATTTTTTTGTGAGTTGTTCATTGTTGGTTTTTCGGGTTCAGGTTCGGATTTCTTTGGTTTTGGTTTGGTTTCGGTTTAGTACATACGAAAGACTTCATAGGGCGCAGGCAGAACACTGATGTTGTTGTAGTTGTTGTTGGTATTTGTTAGTCGAACGGGTTATGTAAATAAACAAATGCAGAAATGCAAGAGTTTGTAAATCAAAAACAAAACACACACATAGGTAATGTAAACAAAAATGAACGTTGATAGACATTCAAGAGCGGATCGGTATGTGTGTAGTAGATGATTGGTTTGGTGTAGCGGCAACTGTAACGGGAACTGCAACGGTAACGGTTTTCTGGGCGCTTTCGCAACACTAAGATAGATAGACACACACACACACACAACAAGGTTGAGTAGTAGTAGTATTAGTAGTAGTAGGCGGTAGGAGAGAAAGAGAGAGTAAACATTGCATACGGAAAAAATACTTTAGTTGAAAAAATCCTCCACTACATATATTGTTAATTGTTATGAAAGAAAAACATGCGTTTGAGTATTTAATTATAAATTTTTTTTTTAAAGGCAGCAGAGTAAATTTACACGGGGTCAGAGATGCTTAAATATACATGAGGCAACAAATGAGCACTTTTTCCTGCATTTATTATTTTGGGACTTCTTCTCTGCTAGTTCGCTGGTTTCCCTTGTTTTTATCACTCAATTATACTTCTGTCTTGTATGCACAATTTTAAATTCTGCCTAAGGTTTTGTTGGCGGATGGGTCAGGCCGCGCCGAGTCCAGGACATTATCATAATTACCTTTAGACACGCACTGGCACACGCACATCGTCAAGCCTATGGCAACATTTTCCGAGTGTTAGTTTTCCTGCCCGCCTTTTCTTGTTTCATTTTGCTTAACATCACCGCCGATGTGTGTGTGCCTTTCTCTTTATTAGCCCAAAATGTGAGTGCACACCAACTGGATTAGCAGGTCCGTGCGAGGATTTAATTGGCGCCCAACATGGGGCCCACTCATGCAGTCTACAAGATTTTGTGTGTTTTTAGGCGAACAAGTACTTTTAAGATTCATTAAAATTCAAAAACAGTTCAGTGAATTAAACGGAAGTAAACATTTTTATAGGGCTCTCCTATTTATTATTCGTTAGTTTGCCAACTGGACTTTTTAGGACCTTGCGGGGAAAAATAGGGCGCAACATCTGACCTACATTTTACTTGACTGCAGTTTATGAAGCCCGTGTAAATTTTATGTTATAGGTCTATAAAAATCAGAAGTATAACTCTACTATTTACTACTATTTTTTGTAAAAACTTAAACAAAAAGACGTTGGACTCTAGAAGTCTCTAAAATATTAAATTAAATTAGTCAAGAAAAAAGCTAACGTCGCTCTTGACTTACATTTAACAAGTAGTAATTTGTAAAGTAAAATTATACAACAATTTTTAAATTTTGTTCAGTCATAAGATAAATTCGTTCTACAACCATTAGATATTTAATTTAAGTTGCTCAGTTTTTTTTCATCAACCTAGAAAAAATCTAATCCTAGACCGAATTAATAAATTTTTGATGAGCATACAAGACTGGTTTTTCCTCTCACACCGAACAACATGACGATGAATCGTGTATGAGTCAGTGTGTGTGGTGAGGGATATATGTGAGATATGTTAGTGACTGACAAGGTAAAAATTTGCATAATTTGCTTCTAGGTGGAAACAAAAGCTATGTCAGCTGGCGGAAACACTCACCCAGTGCGTCGATCGTGCGGCGTCGAAGGGGGCGTGCAGGGCGAGTTGGCCTCACTGAGGGAATGACCCAGGGAGGCGCATTGGCGCTTCTTCACCGCTTGCAGCAGGTTCAGGGTGGACCTGCTGAGGCTCGGCTTAATTGTCTGCAAAGGCATAACGCCATAGATGTGAACTGCAAACTAGAAATGAACTCTCAAAGTACTTACACTGAAACACGGACCGCGCAGCTCACGCAAATCGATGCTGCGAAAGAGATCGCAAAGGACTAGGTCCTCAACGGAGGGGCAGACACCGCTAGGCGGCTCAAAGATTAGACCTAATATTTCCAGAATCTGTAAAGAAAATGATATAATCTTAGTAAAATTCTTCGTAGCTCCTCAGCCGAAGTTTTTGTCAATTTGTAACACTAGGATGTTAGCAAATAAACTATACATTACTTTTTTTCTTTTCTGAAATAAAAAATAAAAATAAAATAATAAAGTAAAAATGATCATTTATAAATGATTTACACAATAAATAATTTAGTAAGTGCTGAACGTCTTGGAATATTTATTCATTTTTTAAGCTTTCACTGACCTGGCCAATTTGTGGGTAGTGTTGCAGCTCCATCTCGAGCACCCGCATGGACGGCTTGGGGGTGGTCAGCTCCTGGCCCGTGCACATCTCGTACAGCAGGTGGCCGAAGCAGACGATGTCCACGTTCTCGATATCGGTGACCGAGCGGGACCACATGACGGCATTAATGCGCGAACTGAGGCCCAGGAGGCCATTCTCCAGGCCCGATAACCTGATGGGTGGGAAAACGAAAAGGGAATAAATGTCACGGAAAATGCATAATTAAATGGCAGACCCTTTCTCCTTTCTCCAAACCCTTTGTTTTCTGTCTTAATTATGCAACAATTTCGATGGCAGCTCGGCCATATATATTGATGGCCAACACGTGGCTATGGCGGCCACAAAGTGTCTACTTTTATGGATTTATGTGCGAGCGAGAGAGATACCTGGTATCATCTGCCATCTCTTTCGCCGCTTGCGATGTGCCTTTATGACAAAGAGCGTATGTCAGACCTGATATGACAATATTATGGTACTACACTGTGTTGTATATTGCGGATTGGCTGGGGCTTTCGGTTTGAGGGTCCTGCCAGGGATTCTCAGCGTTCATTAGAGCGGAATATTGCTGACTAGTTGAAAAAGGTAACCCAAATTGGCTGACAATAGACGTTTTGAAGATGCTAGTTGCCGTGATAGTTTAATTCATTGGTTTTTTTATTATAATGAAAATAATTATTAGTTCTTGGAATCAGAAAATAATTAATGTAAGTTCTTAGAAACCATATATTTGGCTATTTTAGAAAATGATTACAGAACTATTTGATATTTAGTTCTGACTAAGATTCATTACCTAGGTAAAGGAAAAGTAATTTATTTCAATGATTTTATAAGAGTTACTAATGCTTTAGAGTATGGTAGAAATGGAAACAAACAATAAATTAGGCTTTAATTAATATTCACTATTAAATACCGGCACTTTGATATTTATTTTATAGCCAGCATTTGATCTTTGGTTTTATAGACCCAACCATAACCTTAAGTAAATGTAATTTATTTTCATTTGCAATCAAAGCATTGAGTGTTGAATAAATCTCTGTCTAATAGCCTCCTTTTTTATGGCTGTGATTTAACTATCTCAGACTTGTACATTTTCTACATCTTTCCTTAATTACTATTGCAAGCAGTTAGAGATTCTTATCTCAAATCCTCTTGAACAAGTATTTTCCTTTCCACTCCGTCAATCAGCTTTTCAGCTTACTACATTCTATATTGCCCTTGTGCTGCTCTCTGTTCTATTACAATACTTCGGCTGTGTCGATGACTGTACATATATACATATAAGCAATTTATATGAAAATCAGCTTTTTCAATGCCCTCCTGTTCACAGCGATACACTGACGATGATGGCAACTAAATTGGGTCATGCACTTGGTGCAAACTTGAACAGCAAAAAATCCGCACTTTAATCGACTTTCACCTATTGGAACTTCTCATATGCACCCACCTTACCCCTTCCCCCTTTTGCCCCTTTCCTGAGCTGAGTTTTTTTGCCGACCATTTATTTTTAAAATGGCAAAAAGCTAAAGCTTTATTTTTGTTACACCCATTCGATGTTTGCCAGTGGCGAAGGGAGGTGTTTTACGCGTTGTCGCACATCAGTTACATGGATCCCAGAGGGGCACCGAGGGGGGCTCCGAAACGGGGACATGCATTTAAAGTGCCCTGAAATGGCCAACGATTCTGTGGAATTGCTTTTAATTTGCCATTTAGGCTGAAATCTTTTTCGCTTCTATTTCGGTGAATTTTGCATGACTGGAACTTCCGGCGGAACAGTTCGATATCAAATATTTCAGCCATTATTAAATTTGTTTACAGTTGAGCGCACCCCAATGGACGGCACGAGGTACTCACCTGGCGGCCCCGTTCTGCAGGATGACATTGCCGCTGTGCAGGTGACCGTGAAGCGGAAAGCCACGCTCCTTCAGGAAGAGCAGTGCCTCCAGGATCTGTCGCCCCAGGCGCTGCACCTGGCTCACCGGTAAGCCATTTGGCTTACGTGTGTACTTCCTGACCCACGGCTCGTTCCACTGTGCCTGCAAAGGGGAAATAGATTTTAATTACTATTAGTTTTAATCGACTTTTAAATTCGCAAAATGTGGCTAGGAAGTTCAATTGTTTATCTTAATAAGAGATCATTTAATAAAACAAGAAAAAATTTACACTTTTTCTTCAAAAATGGTGTTGTTTTTTTATGAAATATTAGTTATTAATATTTAAACAGCACTTTTTAGAACATTTTTATAAATCAAAATATTTTTTCCTTTTCTGTAAAGTGCTTTTAAGTTCATCCTTTTAAATATTTTTCGGTTAAAATAAAATGAACTACAAGTAATTATAAATTAGGCCATAAATAATGATTTTATATAATAATGAAGATTACAATAATATTAGAAAGAATTTAATAATAATTTAATTTAATATTTTGACTTAAGAATCCTTGGGATTACTTACCTTGTATATGAGATCTTTGAGACTGCCCCGCGAGTTAAAGGGCGTCACCAGGCATGCGTAGTTATACGAGCTGCTCTGCAAAAATCCCAGATCCAGAACGGGATATATGTACGGATGATGCAGCGATCCCAGGAGCTCCATGAGTATTTCCCTGGCACTTTCGTTGGGCGGGAGATCCTCGAAGGCCACGCAATCGGGGGGCAGAGGTAGCAGAGTCAGCAGACGATCAGTGCGGACCTGAAATAAAGAAAAATACTTTCCTGTGGGAAAATGAAAATAAACTAATTACAACGCCCTTACCGATGCATCTGTGACCAGAAACCAGTTCTTGCCATGCCTTGAACCGATCTCATCCAGGTGGGCGATCACTTCGTAGCGCCCATTGGCACTCTGAATCCATTCTTGAGTGGCATTCAGGGCCTTCTCCCTCTGAGCCCGCTCCCTGGGACTTCGCTCCACGATCCCATTGCCACTGTCTAAGGCGGAGTACTGATACTTTATGTTGGGCCTGAAACATATCAACCGAATATTAGCTCTCAAGCTTAACGAAGTACACAGATGAAACATTTTAAAAGAGCTTACGTTGTTGAAGATCGGCTAAGTAAGGAAACTTTTTGCATAGTACAACTAAAACTATAACTATTTATGATATGGCTATCTAGAAAATGTCATGACATTCATCACTTCACACGCATTTTGGGTAGGTTTTATTTACAACGTTCAAAAGGATTGGAATTTAACATCAATTGACTGCACGTGAACAACGACAAACATATTTAATGTTCGTCCTTCCAGTTCAAGTATGTGGTTCGGTGTTGAATAATTTATTTACACAGATTTATTTACTCATTTACCTGACGGTATGTGGGTGTAAATTAACGGACAATCAACACTTTACATTCCAATGGTTTTCAACTGATGATATTTCTTAGCGTAGTTAATATGAAATATTATAGGGGCTTTTAATAATTCGCATTCACATTGTAATTCTCAATTTTTGAAAAAGGTTAAATTCCTATCAAATATTGGTCATCCCCTTCTTTTCACAAGCAAACCTCTTATTGTTATTAACTGACCACAAAACAGTATCCTGGGACCCCCAAAAAACCAACGACATCTACAGGTCACAGGTCCATTGCTGTTAAAAATTAAGCCAAAAAAAGGGAGGCACAAAATAATTTGCACAGCACAACATTTTTTTGTTGGCCAGCTCTGTAAGGTGCCAGAGGACGAAGGATTTGCAACTCAATGAGGACGGAAAACAAAAGGAAGGGCCAGAGGAAGAGGAAGTAACTGCCTGCACAATGGCGCAGCGGAAACGGAAGCAAGAGTTTATCATTTCATTTCGTTCTTTCTTTCTTTTTTGCTGAGGAACAATTTGTTATTTTGTTTATTTGTTGCAAGTGAAGAGTTGTACAAAGAGAAGAGTGCAGAAAAGCAACAGAAAATTGAAACGGTGTCAAACGAAATGAAAGAAAGAAGAAAATCTTAACAAACTGCACTCACTTGGAGGCTCAAACGAGAAAGAGATGGTAAGAAGAGACAAAATAACAATGGCAGAAACAGTAAAAAAAAAGTTGGTAGAAGAGGGAGAGCACGGGGCTCATAAACAAACACTTACGGGCCACTCAATCAAAACAGAGCGAAGGTTAAGCACATCCTCGGGTTAAGTTTAGCATGTGTTTGAAAATTTAATAAGGCACAAAACGAAAAAGAGGAGAAAGTGGAAAGTAGAGAAAGGGAGAAGGACCTAGAAAGAGTGAAAGTGTGTTCGTGTGTGGCATAAAATGTTGGCCAAGAGGCTCCTTCCTCTCTTTCCCTTCCTCTCACCCTATTTCACTTTCATTGCGTCACAAGAACTTGCAGAAACGGAATAAAAACACAAACACAACGAAAAAAACGTACAAAACGTACTGTGTTAAGGCAAATATTCCTAAAATTTTAAATATATAAGATCTTTTTAAAATTCGCTTTCAATGACTATGAATTCTTTGTTGAAAAGAAGCCCCATTCCAATTATACCAATTGTAAAACAGCATTAGTTTTGATATATTTTTGTCAGTGTACTCGTGTGTGTTAGCTAGACTAGAACAACCAAAAGCTACGAAAACTCTTTGCTCTGTCTCTTTAGGCGCATGGCTTGCGCTTTTGGCCAACGGTGCGTATGAGAAATATTTTTCATTTCCCTGCTGTTCAAGACCTTGACTCCGATTGCAGCTGTATTGGGTTTTGTATCCAACTGTGTGTGTTTGCTGGCGTGTGTTTCCCCTGTTTGTTTGTTGACTTAAGCTAATTTTTGTTGCAAAGCGAGAAGGTGACTTTCCCTCGTTTATCCTCTTGGTGATATTGCAGCTTAAATATTTACCAAACACTCGACACACTTGTTGTTTGTCAACTCTGGAAAGTGTGCGGAAAACGGAAGGATAAATGGTAAGAAAAACGGAGGGGAACGCTCAAGATGGCAGACTTGAACTTTCGAATGAAGTGGGAAATGAATTGGATTTTTCTGAAAGACTTTCCAACTATCCAATTCATATTTACGAACTTGAAAAAATATATAGCAGCCCAAAAATACAATACATAAAATTTGAACATATATAACTTAAGTTATATTGAAATGTTATTTTAAATGTGCAACAAACATATAATATCGGCATTTAAAAGTAAATTAAACTATAAACTGTTCATAGTAATTTATAAACCTTCTTTTCATTTAATTTTAAAGGCCAATAATGTCCAAAAAAAGAAAATATTTTACACAATTTCTGTGAGGGTGTTTTTATATGTAGGCTCGAAAAAAAAGAGCAACGCCAATAACTGTAAATAAGAATATTTAATTAAAATTAAAGCCCTTGTGGCACCAGGTGAATTGCGTTTCCTGCCCCTTTTAAAATAAAAAACCACATTTTCGACTGATGAAAGCAACCGAACCGAAGAGTTCAAGGGCCAAAGCTATCTGCCAGATGCATAGATAGATACCTAGAGTCAGAAGGTAGCAAAGTTGTTCAAAAATGTTCGGATGCCGCGCGTAATTAACGTGCTCGTGTGTGAAATTTTTTATTGCATACTTTGCGGCACTCACACATGCATATTCACCTGCTCGTTAGGGGCACACACAGATACACACCCATACATTGACGTACACTTACACACACGAACAGATGCTCACGCTCGCTTGCACATTCATCATACGGCTCAGCACGTAGACACTCAACTACACACCCTCACAGATACTCACACACACACAGCCGAATCAATTTTTCGCCCTTTTCGAGCAAACTTTTTGCCGAGTTGATAATTTAATTTGCAATTTTTGTATGTGTGTGTGAGTGCCTGGGCATCTAATTTGAGGAATTTTCACCTGGCAAACTTTCACCTGCTATTGGAACAAAAGAAAAACCGGAGGGAGTGAAGGGAAATGCATTCTATCATCGCGTTTAATACTTTGACTTTGGCAATGCCTTTGGCTTTTCATTTGAAATGAGAAAACTTTTCAAATAAAGTTGGGCAAAATATTTGGCAAGCGAGAAAAAGAGTCTGTCTAATGTTAAGGAAATATATTTTTTTTGCAATTTACAAAAATCATTGCCCACAAAAGCTTTCAACTTAATTATTTTTTGTGGCTGCCGCTCAAACCCTCTTGAAAACATTAGACACTTCAGATGGTTTTCCTCGGCATTACTTGTGTTATCTCTATGTACGAGTATATACTTGTGCATGTGTTGTACATCAAAATAAATTTGAATTAAAAAAATTGCTTGGTGTATTTTTTTTCTACGTGTGGCAAACATTAAAAGCATTTCAGGTTTTATTTCTAGTTATTTTTGGCATGCAAAGTGCTGTAGAGCTGGAATAAAAGAAATCAAGTAAAATGTAAAAAAAAATCGGCAAGCAAAAGAAAAAACTTGGCATTGAAATCTGTACACTAGTGAGGCTGATGCTGAATTTCAAGTATAAGTACAAGCTATATACAAAATAGATTAGTTTAGTATAGAGTAGAGTAGTAAATGCAACCTTGTTGTCAGTACTGAATCTATGGTATCTCTACTTCCGGTTTCCGCTGGCATCGACTTGCTAAAGAAGAGCCTAGCTAGATTGTCTAACCTCGCGCTAACCAGCGGCGATTTCTCCGAGTGTTCGGATAGATCTGAGTTATCTTGCTCCGAGCTCGCCGACCGATTGCTGCAAATAGAAGGGTACACAATGGTGGTTGCGGTGGGTGTTTTTTGGTTGGTGGGTTTTTGGCACAAAAAAAAAGAAAAAGAAAATACGAAAAAAAACAGCGTTAAGTGTGAGTGTTCTCTTCTTTTCTCTGTCTGTCAAAGAAGCTTTACGAAATGAAAACCAAACAAGTGTAAGGAACTAAATCAAAACTCGAGGAACCTGTGCACTGTGCTAGATCTTTCTAGAGTGTGTGAGTGTCCTGTCCTCACACACCCGCACACACATTGCAAAAGTTCTATATACACACACATACGGGCGTATATATATATATATACATATATCCGATCGGGTACTCACCTACTATAAATCTGGCGGCGATTGGCAGCTGTCAGGGCCGAGACATCGAACTCGATCGCTGAGTTGGAGCGTTTCAGGCCGTTCGCCTTGTGCAGCTTCTTCATAATGTTTCTCACTTTCCTATCGCATTGGTTATCGGTTATTGGTTATTGGTTATCGGTTGAATTGAGAGACAAAAACACACATTGACAGTCACTGGCAGTTCGCAGTTGAAAGTATTTACCGCTAAAGAGCTCGATAAGCATTGACTTAGCTTTCATATAATTTTTAGAAGATCAAATATACGGCTTTAGGTTTAGTGAACAAAATTGTTTTTTTAAGATATTATTATACTATTATAAAAAAAGTTATATACAAATTATAAGTTTTAATAGATTATTCATTCAATTTTAAAAAGAAACAAAGATTAAATGCAAAATTTGTTTATAAACAGGATAGAAAAATAAATAATTTAAATTTCAAACAAAATTGTTAAAATGTATTAGTGTTTTTTACAGACTATTTCTTGAACTTTTATGCTTGATTATACCAATTTAGACTTTTTCTTTTATAAAGCTTTTCAAACACTTATCGCCACTCCCCAGTTAGAAGTCCTCAATTTTCGGGACCTCGGAGCACTCACTTTTCGGGCACTGGTGGTCGGACGAAAGGATCGTGCCCTGTGACGGCACTGTTCCGGTTATCGATCCGCTGCTGCTGGGCGGCCTTGTTGAACTTGAACATGGTGAAGGACTTCTTGGCGCTGGCCACCTCACACACACGAACGATGATCTTGCGGCTGCTCTTAAAGACCGTGTTCAGGGTCTTATAGACCAGGATCGAGACTGACTTGGGGGCGTGGGTATTGTGGTGCGGATTGTGGCCCGGCTGCTGCGTTAGGGGCGTGGGCAGAGATTGCTGCTGCTTCAGTTGATGCACTGGAGCATGCGGCGCGGTCGACGCCGATGATTGTGATCGGGTGATGACTTTGCTTTCGCCCTGGAGATTATTCCGATCGCACTGATTCCGCTGATCCCGGTGGCAGCTGATGATGAGCTCCGGCTCCGGATGCGGCGATGCCGGCTGGTTGACCTCGCTACAAGTGTCCTGTGGTGTTTTCAAGTGTTTTTTTTTTGTGTTGAGTTTCGAACAAAAGTTGAGTGGCCACAGAGAAATGGAATAAAAATATGCGATAAAACGATTTAAAATTTGATTAATCCCAGAACGAGGACTGAGCACAGCAACGAAATGAAAAACGAGAACGGACAGAAGCGCTTCGTGGGCAGTAAAATGGGGAAATCATAAGCTATTTAAGTTATTTCTTTGACCCCGGCAGTTGCACTTGCTCAACAATCGTTCAAAGAGTGTAAAATAACTTGGATTTAATTATTGCTGTAAAAGACAATCACAAAAGCATTTTGATAACGAACTTTGCCAAGTCCTTTGTTTCTTTGAAAATGTGTTTTTGTGAAACGGAAGAAAAAGGATAATCAAATGAAGGATAAAACATGCTTTAGGGCATATGCCATTTTATCAATTCAACTAAACTAATTTACAGCCAATTTGTATAAAAGCGTAATCTAATTTTAAGAAATTTGCATAAAATAATTGCGTGTAACTCAAAGGAATAATTCAAACAAATTTCAGCGTGTCATGAGGATTTATATTTTAGCAGCCAATTAAAGTTTGGAAAATCATAATTCGTTTGCTTGTGTAAAAGTTGTGGGTTGCTTTTTAGCTTTGCTCAGGTGATTTGATTTGCTCTCAATTTGCTGGCTAATTTACTTCGCTCGATAACTTGACTTGCTGATGCAATGAAAGCAAATTTACCTACCCACAGCGATCTCTTAGGCAAACTTCGCTACAGTCCAAAAATGCAAGACACCTAAATCCGGGGTTCGACGATTTCAAAAATTTAGTTTTCAATTGGATTCTTCAGTTTTGCAAGGGTGAATGGTGGGTAAACAGTGGGAGAACCATTTGATGAAATGCGATGAGAGCGAAATCAACTTGACCCCATTCGCTTTCAATTTGGCTTATATCTACGTAATTTAATGGATTTCCCATGCTTCAATTGGATAATTGTATTATTAGGTTGTGTTTGCTGGTGCTTATTCTAGGTTTAATTGGATTTCGCCGGTATCTGACAGTCGAAATCGTAAATGATTGAAATGAAGTATAATTCAATTTATATTCTTTGGTATTTTAAATAAATAATTTATAAATATTTTCCCTTTTTTTGTTTCTTGTCAGTGTTACTTTTTATTTAAAATAATACTTCTCTAACAAAGAGAATGCAATTAATAATAAAATTTATTTGGGAAACTAAAAAAATCAATTTTATCAGTCTCTTTTTTTATATCATTTAGACATACCAATTTATATTAGGCGAGTTTAGCATTTGAAAGTTTTTCCTGAGCTCCAAATGTCAGACAGTCTATTAAAATTGTTTCTCTGTTTTTATTATTAATAATAGTTCAAAAATTGTTCACAGTTTTTCTTTAATTTCTCTAATCGTAATCTATGTCGCATGTGTCGAAAAACATGGGACAAAGAAAACGAGTACTCAATTATAGCAAATAGAGGCTTGTTTGCGTTTTAAGTGTCTGCCAGAGCAGTAGTTAAAATATTTCACGCAGACACTATGGATCCGATTTTAATTTCAGATACCACCGCTCATGTTTTGTTAATTAAAGAGTAGACGCCCCCTTCAGCATGCAAAACTTTTGAAGTTATTTTACCGAAAGCAACTGCATTTCAGTTCAACGAATGTCCTTCACACGGTGAAAAGTAAACCACAGCCGCGATAAAAGCAAGCCCTACTATGCCGGCAAGAGTGGTTGAACAATGGAAAGGACTTTAATAGACGCTTAAATAAATCATACGCCCCGTGTGTCGCGCCTTTTTTACCCTCAAGTGCTGCTTTCATGTGTGTGCGCTGCGTGACATTGAGCTCTGTATAGAACCTTTGAAGCAGCCTTACTTTTTGCACGTGTTTCCCACACTTTACCGCCCCCGCGGCCTATTTGTCTAATTGTCTAATTCTAATTTTAAATTGTGTTTTTTAGTTGCTGTTGTTGCATGCATTGTGGGTTGATTTAATCGTATTTGTTTTTGCTTTGTACGGGCAACCCCTCTTTGGGCCATTTATCTAATCAGGGACAGCACACAAATGCTCAAAGTTCGTTTCTGCCTTTTACTTTCAAGACACTTTATTGATTTTCCTTTTGGGAGCGGTGTAAGTGGTTCGTTTTATTTTCTTTTGGCTTTCAGGTGTGCACTAGAGAAACCCCACACATTCCCCCTTTTCACCTGTCTGGGTGTCAAATTCGTATTCATATTCACAATCACGATATGTGAGTTGAGTTCTGGCTTATCCTTCACTTTGATTATTGCATTATCCTGTCCGTCACTGGCTTGTTCATTGCAAATTAAATTGTCAATTTCGGTAAATGGCGGAAAGAAACGCGATGGGAGAAATAGAGAGGTCTACAAATGGAAACAGATATCATTAATCAATATGGGACTTAGTTCAATGTTTCAGACATTGATTCTCAGCATTTTAATTGAATAGCGTTTGTTATTGGCTTAGTCGTAAGATATTACTCACGCTAGCAGTTAAAAATAGCTGACAAATGTTTCCATGCCCTTAGGCAATTACTAATTATTTTTTTGGGTATTATGTGGTCTTCCAAACAAAATGATTAAGAAGGTAGGGGAAAACTTTATTGCTGCGCAGTTTTACGAGTTCGTTGGTCGGCCATTTGTTAATACAGTTTAGGCAAACTTTTAATACATTCAAAATTATTTTTATTTAGAATAGAGACTTCAAAATTGATTCAATATTGTTGAGAATATCCTTTTTTAAAAATCTAATTTTAAAATTTGTTTAAAGACTTTTTTGGAACTCATAGTTTGGATGATTCTAATCTACATTTTTAAATATTGATGCCATATTGGCACCAACTACTTTGTGAAATCCACGGAAAAATCGTACAAGATTTAAGCTAGATAAACAAATGTACAAAGAAAATGAAATCGTCTTTTGAACGCCCTTGAGTCTATTCAGTTTTTGATATATAATATGTCTTGAAATTTTTTCTATTTCTATAACAGCTTCATTTTCCATTCCCAGCTTGATTAATCTTTCTTGAAATCTCCTTATCTTTCTGCACAGAACAACGCCATAATTTTCGTCATTACACGCCACCCAACCTCATTTAATCTACCACCGCAAATTCCTTAGCCCGAAATAGAATTGCACATTTAAAATGATGATGACTGAGATGATGAGCGGAGTGGCACCTGCTTTCGACGATTCGGGGGAACTTTTCCGCCCTAGACCAACACTTTCCACGAACACTTCGGCTTCATTATGGTTGCACTCATTGTTGATTGGGTCAGACAAATTTTAATAAATTTTTAAATAGTTTTTGGGACGTCACAAAGTTGGCAAAGAGTTGACTGCCGCGTGCCATGTAATGGATTACATTTTTTGGGAGCACCAAAATTAACTTTGCAAAGTTCCAACAAGTTTTCAAAGTTTATCACTCGCTGACGCGCCGAAATTTAGGCCAACTTGCTTGAATATTTAAGCCATGAAAACGTGGCCAACACGGTGCTCGGGTCGTCCGTTAATGAAGGTGCGATTCGAATATCGTTTCGCTTGGGGCGAAAACTATGAAATTTCTTCATTCCAGTTGGAATGAGGTGTGTTTTTTTGTATATACACGTCCACATTGGTGTATGTTAGTACTACCACCGATTGTGGGTGAGTGGCTTAGAGTGTTTGCGTGTCCATATCGCTTCATGTTTGTGGTCGTATTTGCGGCTGACTCGTCGGTCCGGCTCGCCCTCTCACTCGCTCCCCTGCCGACCGACTGTCTGTCTGTCTCGCTTTCGACTGTGCGTTTTCCCCATCTAACTGGATTATAAAAATTGATTTTTAATTTTTATGACAATTTCCAACTGACTCATGGCGAGCGGCATTCGCAAAGAATGTTCCTCGTCTATTCATTCCATTCTTATTTGCTCTTCCTTCGGCAACCGAACCCCCTCCATCGAGTCCCATTTGAACTTGGCATGCCAGTTTGTTTTTCTTGACAATGGGGCTAACAATGTATGGATAATTTACCGTGGGGCCAGCGATAAGACTGGAATTACTTACAAAAAGGGCAAGGTCAAGCTTAGTAGGCTGTTGGTCGGGAGTCTTTTGTGGGTAATTGATATTATAATGCTATTATAATTAACTTTAGTTAAGAGCCAAGGCTGTTTTAGTTACGTTTAGACTTAAGGGTATTACTGAGGAAAATATGTTTGCGCAATCATAGTTTATTTTGACCCATAAGGTAGTACAGAAATACTTTGTTTGCCATTAATTGCTTTGTATTTATTTATAAATTAATGTATTTTTGTAATCAAAAAGTAAAAAAAACGCTTTAATTTATCATCAGTTTTTAGTCGTTTGTTCAATCCTTAATCAACAAATCGTGCTTTTTTTGCTTTAAATTATGGCTTTGTTTATCAAAATGTAATCAATTTTGTTTTCTTTTTTCAACGATAAATTTAATTTATTAATTAAAAATTATAACGGCCAACGGCCTTTTTTCCTGAACACATACATTTTTTATTACCCTTGTTTTTGTGGCTTTTCTCCACTGTGCCATGTCTGCCATTAAAAGTGTGTGTGGTTTGTGCTGGAGGCAAATAGTCGTGATGTTGCCCACTTCGTGACACATTAATCATGACCCGCTCAACGACTGTTTACCTTCGCCCTGACCAGCACCACCACCCACAACGCCAGCACCACACTTTTAACCACTCCCACTTCAACGCCCACTCCCTCTTCCATTACTCCCAGGACATTCGGTTGTATGCAAATATTACAGTTTGTTTGTTTGCGGGTTTGCTTTTGATCGCTCCATATGGAAATTGGAAAACTTTTTACGCGCCGGCCTCGCGTGAAGCCAACATGAAATAGAGTAGAGGCAAAATGAAAATGAAAATGGAAGCGGTTCGGCGCGGTCAGATGTCCCTATAGTGCGTTGTTCCTGCGTGTCCTTCAATATAAATGTATACCTTACAGTCAAAAGTCTTAATGTCAAGATTTGTTAAGATTATTAGCGATTAGAAACTATTTTAGGTGAGGTTTCCAAATTTGAAGACATCATTTCTTAAGCAACATCAACAACTTCTTAACCATCTTCTTGCAAATGCAAATGTACATAAGTGACTTAACGTTCATTGCATGTCTATTTTGGATATAATTTGAAAAAATTTGGCCTTTAAATTCTTCTGTTTTTTAACATCTTTACTTAGTGATGTTAGAAGGTTGCTCGTAAAATCCCTTAAAGGATATATACCAATCCCATAAACCACGCTTAAATAGTGGTTTTAATATTGAAAGTTTGATTTATGCACGCTTCACTGTATAACAATAGAATAAATTTTTCACTGTCTGTCCGAAAGAAGTGGCGCCAACAATCGTAATGGATCCTTGAAAAGGGAGTGGGTCGTGGAGTCCCACTGGTCACCGCCCTCTAAAAGACAGAAAGTCAACTGCGTCATTGTTGGGGGGAAATGCCAGCCCCAGCCCAATTTCACCCATTTTCCGAAAGGGGGTGGGATAAAGGGCCCCAGGCCTGGCCGGGCCCATTTCCAGTGACCTTGCATCATTAACTTAATTGCTCAAACAGTCGTCGGTCCGTCCAATTGCCGGGCTGAATTATTCAGTTGTTCTGCTCGGCCAACTGGCAATTTTGCGTCTTTTCTAATGTCACCACAAGCTCATAGAGGACGGGCTGTCTCTCTCTATTCGGCGCTGCACTGGAAAAGCCACCCGACAGCCCAGTTTTTCCGTAGGGGTTGGTGAAAATCCCCACGTGCATTCGCTGTGGTCGTTGGCCCGTTCACGTTGTCTCCGCTTTTTCGAGGGGCGTCACGTGTAGCGGGGCTTAGCCCTCTCCCCAATTTAACATTTTTTTTAACGAAAACAAAATGCTGAGATACATAAAGAGAAAACCAGGCCCAAACCATTTTCGCCGGACTAATTGGATTGAAGAGTTTTCCTGGTGCGCTTTTGTCAACGTAGCAATTGCAGCAGACATTTTCATATTCATATTTTTTAGAATTCACGGAGGGGTAATCGGTACAGCCTAGCCTAAGTTTGAATATAAATACATACCTGCATCGTCTTATCCAGTATGAAATTACAACAATTCCACCCAATATCAAACCACCTAAGGCACACCAAAAAAGGGTCTGAAAAAAATGAAAATAGATATATAAGTTACATTGCAATTAAATATTTTTAAAGCAGAGTAATTTCAAATTGAAATTTAAATTATTATTATATATTATATTAAATTCAAACGTTACTTTTATTTACTCTATTTTCTTTACTAAATATTTTAGCAAGTCATATTAAAATATATTCTAAAATCCTTAACAAAAAATTTGTCTTTTTTAAAATTCAGTGAGTTTGTTTACATTCAACCCTTTTTCCGCTCATTTTCAATATTTATTTGTTACTTTATGCATAATTAAAAAGCTTTAAAAGTTCAATGAAAATCATTATGTCCATTTTTTGAACCCGAAATTAATAAATTATTTTTTATCAGCTGACCCTTTAATAATCGTCTCTCATCGTTTGCAAAAAGGTCTTTGCCCTACCCCCAAAAACTTTCGTAATTCGACTTTTCCTTAAGTAAAGTTCAGTGAACAACTTGACATCTTTGTAAAAGGTTCATTAGATTTTCTCGCCCACGATTCAATCCTTTTCCGCCAGACAAGGCCACGCCCGTTTGGACTTTGTAATCAAATTGTATTTTTCTGCTTTCACGCTTTATAGGAACAGCATGAGGAGGTTGCAAATCATTTGCGAGAATAATCATTTTAATTTTATGGACAGACGGACAAGTCATAGCCAGATTCGGAGGCGGATCATCAATTTTGCAGCCAGAAATGTCAATTGCAGTTGGCATTTCGGGTCAGAGACGAGGGCAAAGAATGTCAATCCAGACACGAGTCGATAGAAATCAGGTTGTGTGTGCGGGAATCTGTCGATTCATTGGGGCATGAGGTCACGAATGATTTATTGACTAAATGTCTGGATAGATCATGAAAGATGCATCACCAGGAGTCGGGGAAAAGGCAAAGAATTCCTTTTCTTAGTTGGTCAATTAAATGAATTGCTTAAAGGTTAACCTCTTTCAACCAATTCAATGCTTTGAAATATTAGCTGAGCGATTGCGACATGCATTGAAAAGACGTCTTTATCTTTGCAATTAAATGATTAAGTGATTCAATTCAGTAACTGCAGACATTCCTTTATTATATAAATACATTCAATACCACGAATTAGTTGCTCAATTAAATCGATTGACTTCGATCTTATCCTTAACCCCTTTAAGTTTGTGTTAAAATGAAAATTGAAAGGAGAGGCGCACATTCTCCAAACAATTTTCGAGCAATAAAATTCAATTGGCAGGACACACACTCGAAGGCGTCTTTGTCTCCGGCTTTTAGGTTCATCCTGCCACCGACGGAACTTCCTGCCAGCCTGGCATCCTGCCAATTCAGAGACAATGCCACATCAGCCTTTCCCCGATTTCGTTCAGCATTTGTGGCCACTCTTCGCCGCCTAACTATTTTTTGGCAACAACTTTGCATTTTTGGCCGGCCACTTTTATGCCTCTATAATTGCAACCGCAAGGAGTTGGCAAGTAGTAAAATTTATAATAAAATGCCGGAAAGTTCAAGGTCCACTCCGAACTGATACTTACAATCCAGTAGTGCGTTTCAGTTTGTCTGCTTGGATTCAATAGCATCGCACGTTCCTTTCATCTAAGAGCACGTCACAGTTGGTTAGCTGAAATGGAAAATAGGAAGATTCGGTTAGGCTAAGACTCAAGAAGACAAAGTATCAACATGGTAAGTTGAGCTGGAGCTGCAAGACGGAAATACTGTTTGCATACTCGTATCTGAAAGTTTTCTTTCTCCGAGTTTGTTTCGGTTAGGGAAGATGTCAGGCAAAATATCAGTACTTGGTATATTGGCAAAGAACCAAAGTTTGACTTGCGGAATACATTTAAATATAACAATACAAAGAAAACCGTCGGACGTTGCAGTAACTGAAGCTATTTAAGGTTTTTACTCCACAATAAGCTGAATTAAGCAAAAGGTAAGTAGAATCCTTCTAATTCAACGACAAAGAAAAACAAACTTAAATCTTACTAGCAACTTTTGTGTGTTTGATTTCCCAACCTTTCACATCCTTGATGGCAAAATATTGACCATTTCCCCGAAATCCCACTCCAGTAATTAAGCATTTATTGATTTGTTATTGGCCCGAATATAATTGCCAAAATAGCAAACACTGCCAGCCATTGAATGAGCTCAGCTGTGTCAATGGTGAAGGCGATTAGCTTTGCTCATCGAATTTTAAGAGGACTTTGTTCAGATGAGTTAAGAGGAGGTGGAAAGGGGAGTGCGGGCGGATGTCCTGGCAAAGTTTCGACTCGAGATTCGACCGGCGAAGCTCATTGCGTTTGATTTACGAGGACTTGTTCTATGGAGCGCTCTTAATATTTTAGTGGCTGTCGCCTCCGCAATTATCATCATCAACGGCCCGAATATGGGAAAGCAGGGATAATTTCTTCGGATGAAATGCTTTTCGTGCTTTTGGCATTTTCGCAGGACGAGATGGAGGTTGGAAATGGAAAACTGTTGATTTTTCTCCATTTCCCCTCCGGAATTGTCTGTCATGTTTCTGTTTGACACGCGTCTCAACTTTGAACTTTAAGGGAAAAACAAATGTTTTCGCAAAGTACACTTTTATAAACATATGGCGACTGATTGACATTAAGTTGTGCAGGAAAAATTGAGTCAAAAGAAATGGAAAGTTTTTATAATATAGCAGAAAAACGCTAAAGCGAAATATTTATGCAAATGGGAAACGTTTTTGTTTATAATATCTCCACAATTTTCCGCGTAAGAGCTTAATTTATGCAGACTATTAATTATAGACAATGCAGCGATCAAAATAACCATGATGGTTGAACATAAATTTTGGGAGAATTATGTAGACAATTAAATAACTACATTTTATTATTTCTTGACTAGTTTTTAATTTTGAACAGAAATAATAAAGATAATTAAACCACTCACTCTGACTTAAAATGTTTTTTAAATTAAGCAGCTGTTGGTATTTGTATATCCTTTAAGTACAAAGCACATTATTAATTAATTTTTAAAAAGAAATCTAAATAAACAATGTCCAAGACACATCCATTTAAAGGATAATTTGGGCTAAAGAAATGTACACTTTCGATTCAATATTGTTTGAGACATAGATCCCATCTTTTGAAACACCCCATCATTCAATATCAGCACCTTCTCTTTCCATTTGACCTGATTTACCAATTCTCTATATTTCCTGTACAAAAAAATATGTAAATTTTTCCAACTGACTCTTCAAGTGTAATCAATGCTTTTTTTTGCCCTTGCAAGGCTCTGGTGGCCTGGAATTTGCATAGTGGCACTTGCGTGCATTGCATAAATGGATTTTCAACTCCCCAAAACCGAAAACGGCAAAATTATGCAGAAATAGGAAAATAAAAGTACAGTAGATGGGGGAAAAGTAAAAGGAAGCATTGATTTTGAGTGTAATGCGTACAAATGTTCGACAGTTGAAATGGCAATTTCTGTTCTAAATTGATAAGCAGAAATGCCCTAAAAGCTTGAATTGAAGTAGGCATTCAGGTGATGACGCTCATTGAAATGCACATATCTACACATTTACATTAGTTAATGAATACTAAAGGATACAATTTAATAGTACAATATAAATAGATTATTTTTGTTTCAATAAAAGGCTAAAATTTCTATTTGTAAACCTTTTTTTAATATTTTTAATTACATATTCAACAGCGCCAAATCAGGTAATCAGAGATGATGACAAACGAGCATGGACTGCAGGCCACACTTGCTTTTTATTCCCCAGAGCCTGATGTCGTTTTTATACCACACATGAACGCTGTCAACGTCCCATCAACAAACACATCGTCAAACACAGTTACTCCGCTCTCCTTGAAATCCAAATGTGTTGGCATATGTTATGAAATTAACGAGTTTACTTTGTGAGGGAGGCATTATAAACAGGCAAACAGAAATGGCCTAATAAAATTGTCAATAATGCGACAGCCACACGCGGTGCGGAAATCAAATGAGGGTTAGAAAAACTGAGAGTGCTTTGATAACAGCTGACGACAAGGACATTACTCATACGCAACGTGTGCAAGTGTGACTGGAAATCAACTGCAGCTGACCAAAAATCAGTGTCACTTTCAGCGGGTTCATTTATCATCGCTTTGCCTTGGTAGACGACAAGGATTGAGGAACAGAAGCGGAGGTCCAAGGTCTTGGGGCAGCTGTCATGTTGAGCCAGTCAACGTGATTTGTCTCGACGCCAGTCAAATCAAGTTTTTCCTACGAATCGTGTCCTTTAGGTGGAGTCACACAGAGAAAATCGTATTTTTTTATTCTACCACTGTTTACAGTATATTTATAATTTTGGGTATTAATTGTAACGCGCCAATATTCGTATTTTTAAATAGATAATCATTGAAAAAGTTTAAGAACCGTAATATTTTTTCTGCAATTTTTGTTTGTATTATCTCTCCTGAATATTTTCTCTTGCCATTTTGGTATAGGAGTTCGATTTTTAGGTTGTTGAACTATTATTAGATTTATAATTTTTTTCTTATTATACACAACAAATTATGAACTAAATTTGTTTCTCTGTGCATTAAAACCGCACCCTTTTCTCGAAGGATGGTGCATGCGAAGGGGAAATGTGGTGCCAAGTGAAAACTTTCAAGGCCCCACACGCACACAGTATTTCGTTGTTGCGTGTAAACTCATAATTTGGCGTCGCGGTGAAAGTTTCGCCTAGAATTTGTTGTCGCTCAATTTGATGCGTGCGAATGGGCGGTAAGCGTGGGGCGTGGCACTCCAGGCTATTATGATTATCGCTTGCGAAAACATTAATTAGAAGGTCATCGGCGAACAGCGAGAACTGTTCCTTAATAATATTAATTAAGCCATTACGTTCTACTTCCATTTTGTTTGGCTGAGTGTCAATGAAATAGCATTAGGCAACTTAATTGGAACAAAATTTAGTACGACGCCGGAGATGGGGATTTCAGAAGGGGTAATTAAAGTCACTTATACTAATAGGTATATATTAGTGAAAATTTTTAGAGCTTAACAGGCAAATGGCTTTCTAAGCCATTTGTTTTATTAGGGTAATTTGAATTCATTACTGCTTCTTCAATTTTTGCTTGTTAAATTTTGAATCAGGAAGTGTTCAGCACAAATGTATAAGATATTTATTTCATTGACAATTATTATTTTGTATTTGAATTTCACTTTTATTTGAGCAGTTTTCTGTAATTTAAAAATAAGATAAGAATAGTAAACTTTTTGTGGCATTTTATTGAACGTTTAAGTGCAGCTCAGATGTGGTGCGAATTGTTTCCCTCACATTTAGTTCTCTCGCATTAGCCATTTCTTTCGGCTCATCTGTCTATTTTCCCATTTCCGCAGATCAACCAAACGGCAATGGCAATGGTAATGGCCAAGAAAAGCGGCCAAATGGCAGGAAAGGAAAGCTAGATAATGTGGCAAGAGAATAAACAAATCTCGCTATGGGCCTCTATACCGCTGGTCAGTTCCGCAGAACGCGGCGTAGAAAATGGACGCCGGCTATTCGCCCCGAAAAGTACGTGCGAAATTATCTATATTTGTTTATGTTTGTGGGTGTGCGAGTGCAACTGTGTGAGCGGTAGTGTATCTATATACTATATATGCGTTGGTAAATTAAATTGGGCAAAAACGCAATTAAAGAAAGTGAAATTTGAGCGAATTGCAATGCAATCAAATGCGAATTCAAATCAATAAAATTGATTGCAGGCCAGAGAGCCGCAAAAGTGGGTGGCAAATAAAAGAAATGGGACAGGAAAAAAGCGGATGGGAAAAAGCTTTTCCCGACAAGCTACGACTTTGACTTTTGTTTGGGCAGATCGGAAGAATGACCACCCTCTTGAAATGCGTTTTTAATGTTCCAGCGATAATGACAAAGAAACCACCATCTGTGGATGCCGATTCGCCGGACGACATGGCCATGTTCGACCTTTTCCTCTTTCACCTTTTACTCCCCCAAACCGGATGTAATAAAAGCGAACGAAGACGGACATGCAACGGAAGTGCAGAAAAAACCCTCCCCAGACTGGCTGCCTCGTAAATTCGGATGGTTTCTGTTATTTACGGTCTGTTTGATTGCACAACAATGTGTTTATGTGGAAGGTGACATTTGTAATTGCCAAGGAAGCGAGGAAGTCGACCCCGACGACAGTCGCACAAAACCATAATAGTAACTGTGTAGTTGGACGTTGCAGGTAAAGGGACTCACCATAAATCGCGATTGCTATCTAAAGAAATGTTTCTGAGGACGTGTGTGTACTAAAGGTCATGGTGGTGAAAATACATTTCACAAAATTTAAACTTAACAAGAAAGGAAGCAAACTTCGTCAAGCCAAAGTTTTTATACCCTTCAAGTTATTACAAAACGCCTACATTTCAATTAAGCTATGTCGATTTTGTGCTGCATTATCGACTTAAATTTGGAAAAGTTATGGGCTCTCACATCTCAAATCACAAGTCTTTAGAGGTATGCCACTTCGGAATCGGCTTAAATTTGGTAAAGTTATGGACTCTTGAAGTCCAATTTTGAGTCAACGTTAAACAAGTCATCGGAA